TTAACACTCTTTTGATTATTAATGGATTTTAATGCCTAGTGATCTGTAAACAGCATGAACTCTCATTGGATAAGATAATGCTCCTATATATACAAAGCTTGCACCACCACATAGAATTCCAACTCATAGGTAGTCCACTTCTTGCGTGCTTCACTCAGCTTCTTACTGTAAAACATTACTAGCCTTCCTTCTTGTGATACAACTGCTCTGATTCCCACTGTTAAGGCATCATAATCTACTTGAAATAGCTTCTCAAAATTTGGAAGGACCAAGATTGGGACTATTGACAATTTTTCCTTGATTAAGGCAAAACTTATCTCAATTTCTTTTCCTCATTTGAATTTTCCTTTTTTCATGCATTTTGTGATGGGAGCCATAATACTACTGAAGTTCTTAATGAACCTTTGGTAGAACGTGGATAAGCCATGGAAACTGCGTACTTCTCCTACATTCTTCAGCGTAAGCCACTCCCGAATGGCCCTCACCTTCTCCTCATCTACTCGAATGCCATCATTACAAACCACATAGCCGAGGAATACTAAGCTTGGGGTCACAAAGCTACACTTCTTTAGATTAATGAATAGTTTATTCTTCTGCAAAGCTGTTAATACTTCTCTCAAATGTAAAAGGTGTTCTGCCTCTTTTTCACTATAAACCAGAATATTGTCGAAATAAACAACTACAAATCGACCAATAAATGGTTTGAGTACCTTATTCATAAACCGCATGAAAGTACTTGGCGCGTTGGATAATCTAAATGGCATGATTAACCACTCATACAGTCCTTCTTTTGTCTTAAACGCCATTTTCCACTGATCCCAGGGCGGATTCTGATCTGATGGTATCCACTCTTGAGGTCCACTTTGGTGAAAACTTTCGATCCCACCAACATATCCAGTATATCATCCAACTGTGGAATAGGAAATCTGTACTTGACACTGATTCTGTTAATTGTGCGACTATCAACACATATTCTCTAATTGCCATCTTTCTTCGGTACTAGCAAGGCCGAAATAACACATGGGCTCATTCTCTTTTGAATCAACCCTTTCTGTAGTAACTCTTCCACTTGCTCTTGTAAGATCTGATTCTCGTTGGGACTTATTTGGTAATGTGATAGATTTGGCAGGCTCACCCCGTGCACCAAGTCAATGTGGTACTAAATGTCCCTTATGGGATGGAGACTATCAGGTAAGTCTTCTGCCACCAACTTACTAAACTCCTTCAGTAATAGTTGCACTATTGCTGGTACTATAAAAGGAGGTTGTTTAACTACTTCCCCTTTACACATAACAGCAAAGATTTTAGGGGCAGTTGTTACTTTGCCTATAAATTCCTCACTATTGATCAACATAATTGAATTTCCTTTGGGAAATTCGGCTTCTTTCAATAGACCCAAAACAATCTTCTAACCATTCTAATATAGAATATACACATTGTCTTTACCACGGTGAGTGGCACCGATATCAAAATGCCATGGTCCGCCCTGGCATACATCTATGTCGACTACATCACAACGCACCTCCTCTGCATATTCTTTCCCAATTGAGAATGGAATGGTGCAGGTTTCAATTACTCACGTTTCTGAGCTTTTCTTGATCCATCCAATTTTGTATGGATAGAGATGTTTTTTTGTTTTAAGTCCCAATTTTTGAACCATTGTTAAGGAAACAATGTTCTCACTACTACCGCTATCAATAATAACGTCACATACCTTATGGTTAACAGTGTAACATGTACGGAACACATTATAACGCTGCGGGTGCTCCTTCTTCTTTGGCGTGAACATCAGCCTCCTCACGACTAAAAAGTGGAACAACAACTCGCCATTATCTCCTTCAGTCACCTCTTCTTCTTCAAAGGTAAAGAACTCACCTTCCTCACCCTCGTCTTCCTCATGCTCGACAAGATTTACTGTCGATCGCTAGGGCACTTATTGGATTTATGGGCAGGTTCTCCACATCTAAAACATTTACCCATACTTGGGTGTGCATAGGGATTTTCTCTCACAGCTAGGGCACCCCTTCTAGCAGGGCCTATGGGTGTTGTAGGTTTGGCCTTTGTTAGACCATCTCCAGTGCTTCGTTATGTCATTGGAATAGGGGCTATCGCAGTTTGTTTACCTATGTCATGTGTAGGACGTGGGGTATTATATGAACCACTAGACTGATTATTCGACTTCTCTAGTAACGATTCTGCTCTCTCTGCCACTGTGACAATCTCAGACAGTTTGAATAAAGGTTGCAACGCCACTTTCTCTTTAATATCCCATCGTAACCCGCCTTTGAAATGGGCCACCATGCTAAATTCGGGTTCCACCAGGTTGTTACAGGATGACAACCGATAAAATTCGTCAGCATATTCAGCAATCGTTCTACTTCCATGTATGCATAATTGATATTTCTGATAAAGAACCTGTTCGTAATTAGGGGGTAAAAATCGAGCTTTTATCAACTTCTTCGTCTTAACCCATGTACGTACCTGATCCTTACCCTCACGTGCACGAGTAGTTTTCACTTGTTCCCACCATGCTGAATGGCCACCTTTCAACTTATAGGCCACGAGTTTGACTTGTTTCTCCTCCTGGATTTTCATATAGTCAAACAAACGTTCAACTGCACTAGTCAAGTCCAAGAATTCTTCAATACGAAGATGACCTTGAAAGGTGGGTAGGTCAATCTTCATACGAAAATCCTTCGAATCATCAACCGGCCATCAAAAACAAAGGCGAATCTTGGATTCAAAACCTTGCTCTAATACCAACTAACGTAAGGGAAACGATAAAGAACAGGTTTAAACCCTTGAACTCACAAATAACACACTCACAAGAGAGAAACTGAAATTATATTGATAATGATGATATCTGTAGACTCACATCTCTTGCCTTTATATAGGCAAGTCAAAAATAAAATAAAAAAAGAAAGCATACGTGAAATAATATTAAAGGGGAAATCTGAGGTTTGATGGAGTAGAATCCTCCTTAAATCTTGCAATGGAGAATAATATATTCTATTGTTTGCAACTACACCAAATTTCCTTTTAACTTTTCCTTATTTATTTATTTATTTCCTTATATTCTCCTTATATTTTCAGCCTCTCGCGATGATTTTTTTGACTTTTCCTTATTTATATTTTTTCTTCTATTCTCCTTACCTTTTCAGCCTCCCTGATTTGTGATGATCATGTATGCTCAGATAATCGTGAGCGAACAGTTCTACATCAAAACTCCTATTGATTAGGATTCTTGATTGGCCAACCTCCTCATTTACATTTTCTCCGTTAGTGTTAGATTCAGATTCGTCATCATCATGTACTGTTGTCCCAGTTATCTACTAGATTTTCCGAACCAGGAAGGTGATCTAACTCTTCCTCCGACAACTCTGAATAAGGATTATGCAATTTATTCATCTGTACAAAGTAATAAAGAATGTAATAAAAATTCATTTATATGAAATATTTCACGTAGTAATTGAAAATAGATCAGTGTATCTACCGTAAAAAGCGCGCACGCACACACAAAATAGGTCTTAACTTTAACGTTACATTAGTACGTGGACTATTTGTTAACCAACAGAAGTGTTAAAAAGTGAGATTTATCTCTAATGTTTTTTGAAAAAGGGCCAATATCAAAACTTATACATAATCTTTAACTAAAAATGATGGAACTTAAGAAAAATCCTTAGATTGTGAAAAAAAAAATTTATATTCCGGCAAAGTCTAACTGAACGCACTTTTAGCGACTGGTTCAATTACTCCCGGTTAGGGAGTTTTGCGAAGTGCCACCACACTGATTGCACTTGTCTAGACATGTACGACATTTTGATTTTTAAGTCATTTTTTGAATTCTTTTTGCACCAAACTTTGAGAGACGTCCTACAGGAATTTTAAAAGCATTTTTTTAACCAAATTGAGGACTCACTTATATATAAATATTCTCCAAACTTCATGAGAACATATATATGCATAGACAATATTATTTTTGCAGGAGAGTTTTTTAGGTCTATAGAATTTTTTTTTTTTTGTACGTTTTTCCTTTTATTTGAGAACATACACGATTCACATGAGTGATTTTAGGATGGTGTTTTTCTTGTGATGCAGCTATTTCCATCTGTTATTCCCCTCCCAAGGCAGGTTCTTAATGCTTGTTGGGTATTTTGGTTTGACATTGCCTCACACCCCAAAAGAAGGGAACTACGTCTGAGTTAAACTTGGAAAAGGTTCTTAATGCTTGTTGGGTATTTTGGTTTGATATTGCCTCACACCCCAAAAGAAGAGAGCTACATCTAAGTTAAACTTGGAGAAGGTTCTTAATGCTTGTTGGGTATTTTGGCTTGACACTGTCTCACACCTCAAAAGAAGGGAATTACATCTGAGTTAAACTTCGAGATGGAAATTTTCTTTCATTTTCCCCTAAGCTCGTAAGTTTATTATCTTAGATTGGAACAAGTTGATTGGATCTCCTTTTTTATGTCCCTATGTCCCTCTATAGCAACATGGGGATGAAAAAAGGAAAGAGTAGGATGGGGTTTCTCTCACTTTTGGCACGCGGCCCCAGTGGGAGACTTGCACGACGGGCTATCCAGATTTATTGAAGATCATATTCATTAATTCCGATCAGAAAGCAAGATCTGTTTTCCTCTTTTTATATTCGAATTCAATTGCACTATTAAGGGAATAAATTGTTGGAAGAGCAGCCCTTCTTCATGGATTGAGAACTAAGCCTAAAGTCTTCAGCAATTCGACCCACGGGTCATAACTGGTTTTGGCGAAGTATAGTAGTCTGTTTGATTTTAAATGGACTAAAATTAAAATAATCTAAATATCGGATAAACGAGCAAGTTTAATCCATTCACCCCTCTAGATTTTGTTTTGAAGTTTAAGTTTTCACAACCTTTTTCACATCGTATAATTCACACTTCATATTCATTCAACTGATTAATAGTTCAAATTAGCCAATATATAAAACACAAAGTTACAAGAGAACCCTATGAATGAAAATGTCAATATTCATATTCAATTGATGTTTCCTCACTAGCGGTGGTAGTAGGAGTCTTAGCGGAGGCGGATCTAGACTTGACCACCACTAGAATGCGCTTGCTGATGTCCTTGGAGTAGACCTGGAGGATCTTAATGTCGTCGGTGAGGCCGCAGCCGGAAGAGGCAGCAAAAGCTTCAACCTCGATCCTGCGGGCGGTGGCAGCAGCCTCGTCCGGTGGGATGGATCCGTAGCGCTTGGAGAGGACGGAGGAGGTGGAGAGAGTCTCTATGAGGTGGTTAATGACGGCATCGCGAGTGCGCTGTGACGGCGGCCAAATGCTGAAGGATTTGATCTTCTCTGTGTTCTTGATCTCCTGGTGTTGGGTTTTTTCGGGTTTGGGCCTTTTTGAAGTTTTTGGTTCTTGCTCTTCAACCATAGAATAATGAATATCAATTGTCATATTCCTAATATTATAGTGAATATGGATGTAGAAAAATGGGTTATTAGTTAATCCACTTTATGAAAAGGAATATGGATATCCAGATTTGCATATCATTGGAACAGTTGATGAGAAAAGAGTAAGAACCTAATCAAACAGACCTTAACATAATAATAATAATAATAATAATAATAATAATAATAATAATAAAATTCTATTTCAATGCAATTATCATATTAATTAAGATTCCCAATATAACATCTATGGGAAGAAGTAATCAATTATGTTGGGGACAAGTGAATCAATTACGTGGATTAGCAAGAAGCCCCAGGTGAGATTTCTGTTGGTTGCTTTATCTCATTGGCAGGGAAACTGAGGAATTGATGTTATAATTGTTCGACTACAATAATAAAAACAAGGGAAGAAAAAAGAAAAGTAATGAAGAAGAATAAAAAAAAAGAAAAAGAAAAGATGAATAACATTGAAATGAAAGATAAAATTTGAGAAATTAATGAAAAAAGGTAATTTCATGGGGGCACTATTTAATTTTTTATAAATGATATTACCTAACTGTAATATAAATTAGTGGGGCAAGCATGGTATAGGGGAACACGTGCCCCGGGATTGTTCCATCCCTCTATATAGAGAATAAATATTTAGTTCATCTGGTGCTCTGTGCACCAGGCTAATTTAAATTGTTCGTGATGTGTACGTGCCGTGACATGTTTTGCACGCATAATTCAAATTAGCTCGATGCATCGGACGCACCAAATATATACTCCTATATAGGATACACAAATGAGTTGTGTACGAAATTTGTGCAAGTTTTGGTAAAATTAAAACCCAAGCATTAGATACCTTCTAAATCATTATTTCCAAAACATTATTACTCCTTCCCTCTTATATTAGTTATTCACTTTTTCTTTTAGAGTTTTTTAAAACTTAATTTATTGTGCCATTTTAAAATTATCAAGTTGTCCATTAAGTTTAAATATCCATGTTATGAGGTTTTAAATTTTTTGAAAATTTAAAAGAAACAATTATGCAAAGATAACATCGTGTTACTTGGACTTTTTTACATGAATAAGATGAAGACATTCTAAATTATAAGATGGAATACTAATATGGGACAGAGAGAAAAATATTATTTTAACAAATTCAAAGTTTCATTTTCAAGATTTTGCATGAGTGGTCTGTAGAGCAATTTTTTAGAATAGCAATTTCTAATTAATTATTAAATTAACACTACATATGTCAAATCTATTGTAGCAATAGTGATGCATCCATCCATGGTACTATAAGAGAGGTAAACATTTAGGAACAAAATATATTCTTGCCTTTGTTGCCTAGAAAATATATAAATAAAATTTAGATGACCACTAAATAAAGTAGGAAACTTTAAATAGCAAGCAAGAAAAACAACTTTTTTTTTTTGTCTTATTCAAGAAAGAACAACTAGATACTTGGTGCAATGCATGAGTGAACAAATAGTTAGGAGTGGTTAGAAAAAGTGGGTGATTTAATTACCTTTTTTAACCTTCTCAATTTTTGCGACTCGTCTGTTTACATTCCCCTCCTCTGTGCAACCCCTATACCCAGAATGCAAATTTGGCTCCTTCGATTGTGTCATTTCTTCCAAATCCTGGCCCGCTTTACCTTCTTCTACTAAGAGAGCTGCAATGCTTCTGCAACTCATCTTTGACACTCATACTCCTTATATAACCACATTTAGGTCAATGATCAATATGCAACAAATATAATATTATACATTTATATATATATTATGACTGAGATATGAGAATGCAAGCTGTAACTTTTCATCTATGAACAAACAAAACATAATGCTTAATTGAATGGGATTGTGTTTTTTTAAAGATAAATTGCAAGTTCAACAACTTTTCAAGCCAATATTACAAAACTAGCAACTTTTACAAAATATTTATACAAAACACTATAATTAATTACAAAACTAACACATTTCAGTGTTCACTTGTCCTTTATTTATAGGGCAAAAGTCACGCTCTTGAACCCTTATCAATGCAATTACCAAATTGCACTCAATCTGCAACCTTACCAAAATGCTCCCAAGAAACTCCAATGACAGATCCAATTTTGTCTATGTACTTGTAAAAAGATCATCGTGCCCCTTTAAAAAATAATAATAATAATAACATATAGATTTTGTATCGCTCTCTATCTCTTCTACTTTGACAACTTTCTCTCTCCATTTTTTTCTCTCCAGGAGAGAGTAATGATCATCCGACTAGCAGTTTCTTCACCCTTTATAGGGCACTATACATCACAATGCATGGGAGAGGATTTTGGCAGTTCCATTTTCGAACATTTTTTTTTCTACAAGTGGATGAATCTTTTTTGTTGAGAAAAACTCATCATAATATCCTAGCAAGAGTCACGAACACTAAGGTGGTGTTTGGTGAAATTGAAAAATAAGTCTTAAAAATTTCAAGGGCTTATATTTTGTTTAAAAATTTATAGGGTAAAGTACAGCACGCCTCACCAAAAGGACATCCAGATACAAGTTACCTTATTTTGGGACTATGACATCTGTATGAGATTTACAAGTCAAACATAACCTTGAAACATGTGAAAAGTCAACTTTATCCTTTACTATTTTATTAATTTTAATTATAAAATATCAAAATAATTAAATGACCAAATTACCCTTTTTTCATCTTTCTATATATAGAATTATACATCACTTCTCCATCTCTTTGTTTACTGTGCTCCCATCTCGCCACCCTCTCTTTGATTGTCTTTGATCTTCAAAGAAGACCTAGACAGTAAGTACACCGTGACACACTTCCTTCAAACCCATTTTCCTTTACAATATTTAGATGAGTACACCATGGCATAGACCCATTTTCCTTTACAATATTTAGATGAGTACACCATGGCATAGACCCATTTTCCTTCACAAAAATCAGATGAAGCTTATATGTGAAAAAGAGAAGATATGTTGGGGAAAGAAAAATCATGATTTCTTCACTGGGTTCTTTTCTTTTTCTTTTAATTCAAGGCAAGCAAGAAAGATTCCATTAATTGACGAAAAAAAAGTTGAGTTACAATCTAAAAGCATAGAATCCCTTATAGCGATGGAATTACATCACCATAAATCATCTTCTGTTTGAGTGGAAAACCATATTCGTTGGGTTTGATGGGTCTTTTTTCATTTTTTTTGGAATTCATTAAATTGAATTTTGAGCCTGGTTATCAAAATCGCAATTCTGAGTCGTAGAATCGCACGATTCTACAACTTAGAACTCAAAATCGAGGCAAATCGAAACAGAATCGTTCAATTGGTAGAATCGGGGGTAGAATCGGTAGAATCATTGGTAGAATCGTAGAATCGTACAATTCTACACTATTATACCGATTCTACCAAAATGGGTGTTTGGGCGGGCCTTTATAGTATTTGGTCTTTGGGCCTTTATTCTATTAGTTGTTTGGGCCCGGCCTGGTCCAAATATTGTATAGAAAGTTATATATTTAATTATTTATTTTATAAATTATAAAATACAAAACCCTACTTTATTATAGAAAGTAGAAACGGAAAGTCACAAAGGAGTGAGGACTGAGAGGAGGCAGCAGTGCAGAGGCTCATAGAGAGCAGATCGGATCCATACAGCAGCTTACTGGTTCGGCCAGGTATGTTCTATTTTTTTTCTTCCTTAATCAAGTGATGGCATGATCTAATTTATTGGTAGAGAAAGTTGAGAATCCCCCAATTTTTTAGACAAACCCCCTTTTCTTAAGAATCTTCATGCTGTGTTGTAAATTTGTAATGTCTACATTTTTTGTTCTCTCTCTCAGATTCCTTTCAGTTTAATTCAGATCCATACAGCAGCTTACAGTTTCGGCCAGGTATGTTCTATTTTTTTTCTTCCTTGATCAAGTGATGGCATGGTCCAATTTATTGTTAGAGAAAGTTGTTAATTAAGTTGTATTGCCAAAAAAACAAAAAAACAAAACAAGGGTTTGTTTGCCAGTTGCCATTTTATAAACTGTGAAATATCTTTGTAATGAAATTTGGCACTTGAAGTTTGAAGTACTTTACAATTGAAAGTTGCTACTTTGTAACCTAGTAAAAGGATTTAGTATTTGTTAATGCATGAGATGACAGCAATCCTACGTTAATTATACAATTATTCATAGCCTCTTATTTTCCACTTTATAACTCTGCTGGATGAATATATAATTGCTAAGACTTTAAGCATGCATTTTCCCCCTCCTTTTGTAGATAATTTATCAATTCTAGGGGTGTCCTTGTTGCCTAAAGTTCTCAATTATTTCTCCTTTGTCAGAATGCTCAAACACTAGTTATATGAATTATATGAATGCAAAACTTTTGATTGGTTGAATAACTGGAATTATATTAATTTTCGTTCTTTCTTTATGCTTTGTAGTTGAGGAAATTTATGCAGTTGATGATAATGAAGATGTGCAACCATTAAATCCCATTGATGAAGCTAATGAGGAAGATGGTGAAGGGTTCAATGATGACTTTATGGATATGTAATTTTAGTTTCTAACTTTGAAGAGGGATGAGTTAGGATTTGAGATTTGTGGACTATGTTATTTTGAGTTACATTTTCTTTTATTTATATTCAGACTTTGGAATATTCTCCTTTATTTATATTCGGACTTTAGAATATTGTTAGGATTTGAGATTTGTGAACTCATGGATATGTAATATTGTGTTTTGACCTTATTTTGGTTATATTTTACATATCTTATTGTTTAAGAAGTTAGTTTTAATTATTTTTTCACAATTTGGTATAATCTTACGATTCACTATCCGATTTTACAATTTCGATTTTACGGAACCCAAAACGATTCTGCGTAGAATCCCGATTTTAACAACCTTGATTTTGAGTTGGTAATGGTGGTGGTGGAGGAGGATTGTACGTATAGAACTATAGATTACAGTCTTTGATATACAATGGTGTTGTGGATTATTTTATTTGATTGTTGAATATTGGATCTACAGAATGATGGTATATTTGGATCCCTTTCTCTCTGATGTGGTGGTGGCGGCTATGGCAGTTGAGGTGTGGTGGTGGTGGTGGTGGCGGTGGCGGTGGCGGCAGTACATGTAGTGTGTATATTGCTCATATGTATATATACATACATGCATACAAAGAGAAAGGGAGAGAGGCTTGTTTGGGTTTGAGTTTGAGTTTGGGTTTGGGTTTGGGTTTGGGTTGATCCAAGGGTATTTAAGTCAATTAAAAGGTCAATTTTATATTAAAGGGTAATAAAGTCAATTCACCATTGTCAGGGTCACTTTGTCGATTTTTCAAAACTTGAAAGGGTGTCATTATTCTAAAATAAAATAACTTGTATCTGAGTATCCTTTTGGCAAATCTTAGAGGGTGGTGTTGTACTTTACCCAAATTTATAAGTGGTAATTAAAAAATAAATATTTTTTGATATGCTTTTTAATTTTAAGCGTTCTGTATTTAGTAATAATAAGTGATGTTGTGACTAAAATTTTCTCCCATTTTGAGTGGTGCTTACTGTTTTGAGTGATATTAAAATTGCGTTATTAAATTCATATATTTAATTGAATAAATACTTAATCCAGAATTAAGTGTTGAATTGAATTTTCAAACAACACTTAATTTTTCTCATCCGATGAATGATTTCGTCATAAACTTGATAATCGAGTCACAAATACCGATTCATTTTCATTTAATAAGAGATTGATTTCATCATGACTTGGTAATCAACATATATATTGGAGTTTTTTTTTTTTCGTTAGCAAATAAATTAATTTCTAAAAAAAATATTTTACATCGAAACAAATCAAATCTTAATCATAATTTTATTTTTCAAGAATTTAATTTTGAAAATCCAAGCCATTTGAAAGCGAAAAAAATTAAAACAGGACTAGGAAGTCGACTACTTTTGTTGATCGAATGGAGAGCGGACTTTTTAATCTTTTGGAATTTGAGTTGTTAGATATGCTTTTTGAATTCAAATGGGTGGTGTTTGCTTATTACATGTAGTAACTTAAATAAATGAAAAATATAAAATAACATTTAGTAACTTAAGTAAATGGTGAATAAAAATAAAATAAAGACATTTGATTAAATGTTAATCACCCAAGCCAAGAAAAGACATAGTGTCTTGCACCATAAATGTTTTCTTTGTTCGGGGCAATCCATTCTGGAGTGTAAATTATTATTATTATTATTATTTGTTTTTTTTTTTTTTTTTTCAAAAATCGATTCACATTTGTACAAGGCTTCTTAAATTTTACAAGGTGCAAATCAACAAGATTTTTCAAATCGGTACCCAATTCCATTGAGGTATACATGGGCGGCTCAATATAATTTGAGATCTGTGGTAAAAAGATATAAAAGTGGCATTTTAATATTTAATATATTGTCAATCCAATTAATCTTTCTTGTCATATAATTCATCTTAAAGTTATACAACTTATACTTATTGAAAAAGGAGAAAAATATGTAAGAAATAAAAATTAAAATTAAAAAAAATAAAAGTTAAAAGAAGAATATGGAAAATTTTACAAATTCCGAAAAAAAAAAAAAAAAATGAGATTTAAGATAAAAGATAGAAATCTTTTGGCCCTTATTAAATATCTATGGGTTAGTGTCTAATAATAGATACAAATAAAAATTTTAAGGAGGTTAATAAGGAAATAGAAAAATT